TTTTTTTAAATGATGGTTTCCTCGCTTTCGGAAAATGCGAATTTATAAGATTGCAATTGCTTAAAAAGATTTTTATACAATTATGAAAAGTATAATAATATCAAAAGCATATATCAAAAATGTGTGTATACATATATATATATATATAATATTTAATATTATTTAATATATATATAATATAATTACATTACACACACACACACACAACACACACATTTTTGATATATGCTTTTGATATTATTATACTTTTCATAATTGTATAAAAATCTTTTTAAGCAATTGCAATCTTATAAATTCGCATTTTCCGAAAGCGAGGAAACCATCATTTAAAAAAAACATTTATACGTATGTTCATAAGAATAAATATAAAGCAAAATCGACAGAGCAGAACTGCAGAACAGAGATAAAAACTCATAGTGTAAAACGAATTGAAACACGAATAAAAGCAATCGAGCGACGTGATAAATGGAAAAGAATGTATCTTCGAACGATAGATACCTTAGAAACAATTACGTCTGACGCATGTTATTTAATGAATGAACAAACGGCGTTCCACGGTCGTCAAAGCGATCGACATAAGAATTCCTGCGTGACGGTCATGTTTTAAATTTATTACTCATCGATTCGTGATACTGAGTATCATGGAACATATCAGAATAAATTCCGACTGGAATTATTCCATTTTCCCTAGAAAACACAATAGAAATCTAGGGAATAATTGAATAATTTCGGTCGGAATTCATTCCAACTTTTTCCATGGTAAGTGTCTTGATCTCACACAACATTGATCGCAACAGCAAAAGTCATGGTGTCCGATGCACTTTGAAATACAAGTCGGAAGAAGATTCCATCGTATGTGAATTGTTGGTATTTTAATATAAATTTCAGGGTTGGTAAAGACTAATGTTTTTTTTTTTTAAGAATAAAACATATTATGTTTCTTCTTAAATATGTTTTTAATGTTTCAAATATGCTTTAAACAAGTACCATAAAAAATACATATTTAAAACATATTAAAAACATTGATTAAGAATGTTTTAAACTGTTTAAAACATGTTTAAAACATGTTTTTTTACCAACGTTGCATACACGCATATCAAAAAGCATAAGTAACTTGATAGACATTTAAATTTAAATTACGAAAAATATTACTAACTTTGTGCACATATACATACATAAAAAACATTTTATTAGATACGAATTATTTTGAAAATCAGAAGATATTTACGGAAAAAACAGTTTTGCTGAAGTATCTAAAATTTTAATTGATAAATCTAAAAATCATACATTTTGTTAGACCATCAAAATAATTATTTAATTTCAATTAATTTATTGTGATCAAGTTTTATAATTGCGTAGAATGCTTAAACTGATTGAATTAAAATTTCAAAACTTTCTGCAACTCGCTTTCATATTACTTGAGATTCCTACAAAATAATTTTGATGGTCAACAAAATTATTTCCAGATCTGTTGATCGATAAGATTTAAGCCGCTGATGATTTAAAGAAAAAAAAAAAACATATGAAATAATAAATTATAATTGTTGTAAATAAAACTTCGATATTTTATTCTGGAAAAATCATAAATCAATTAGGAAAGCGATATCATAGTTGTTTTCATATAGTCTCGCTAATCAAAAATATAATGACCAAAAATCTTAGCGAGCGTGAAAAATTGCAGATCGCTCTCACCTGCGTTGCGACTGGCTGTTGCTGCAGGTGTTGGAATATCCCGAATCCTTGGTATTGTCCACGGATACCTCCTCCATTCTGCGCTTCTCAAAATACGAAATTTTCCCTCGATAAAAAGAAATCCGCGCTCCAAAATCGCCCCCTCACCACGCACTCGCGACGAGTACACGATTCATTTTGTCCTTCACCCTTGCGAATCTGATCGTGGACCTAACAGGGAGGACCAAGACGGAGTGGAGGAGGATGGCGTTCGCGTGGAGACTGTTTTGGTTCCAGAGGTGCGCGACGGCGGGCGGGTTTGACGCTCGCCGGTTTCCACGCGCGGACTGACTCGCCGGCACCGGCTCTCTCGGCCTAGACTCGATCCTCGCCGCGATAAGTCGGCCGCACGTTCTGAGACACGTGAGCGCGGACCACCCGCGCCCACATCCCGCTGCAGCAATCTATATCAAACGAAGTTGCAGCTAGTCTCACCGCTTCCCCTCGCTTCGTTCACGCTATCGTAATCAGCGATCGGCGCGATCAAAAGCCGCACGTTGCGATGATATCGTAACGCTGACCTTCGTTTTGACTTTTTGCACCTTCAAATGTTTGAATGATGGAAGGATCGTCTCTGCATGCAATTCTCAGATCGGTAATTTCGTAGTTCGTTTTTATTTCACCTGCAAGGTCTTTTTTGGGCACAAGCGAAATTTCACTTTCCAATTTTATCCTCAATTTTGCTAAAATTTCAATTTTTATTACATATAAGTTTTAACATTTTAATTAAAAAATTATTTAATCAACAATGTATAATAGAGATGTTGAAAAATAATCCTGAATTTTTTTTTAAACGTAGGGTATTTACTAAAATCTTATTTAAAAATTTCTTGAGAATCTTGAACTTTTTCCGGATACTTTGATTCAAAATTTCAAATAAAATTAAATAATTTTTTAATGCAACTTTGAAATAAATTGGAATGCAAGTAATTATAAATTAATAGCCGAAAGGAATTTCACGAGACTGTAGCTGCGTTCGGAATTGACACTCACGCGCTGTAAGCTTCATTTTCTTTTTACGAATAATGAATGATAAAGATAGAATAAAGCTTATAGCGAGTGAGCATCAATTCCGAATGCAACCTGATACTTAAGACAGTCTTAAATATAATGAAATAATTTTAATTCTTGATCGATCAAATAATGAAACAATGATAGAATTGGGTCCTAAAGATCATTTGAATTGTTTTTAATAAGGGAAGAATAAGAAAATTGAAAGCTAAAAAATAGGAAAATCGGCACATCGTCGCGATCTTACTACTGCACCACGATATCTGACTGCGAGTTGTCTGTGTTTGCATTTACTTCACGCATTTGCATAACTACTATGAGCCTTGTCTGATAACGAGAGATTGCATCGTGCCTTAAGCCCGATCTACAATTGCATAAACGTAGTTGTAGTTGTAAGAATTGAGCAATCACACTTGAATACAAGGAGAATATCCGACTATGATTGATGAATTATTACAATTACGATCACTTAATTACAACTACGTTTACGCAATTGTAGATCAGATTTTAGGCCTATTCTACAATAGAGTCGTAAGCGGCAAGCGGTAAGAAACCAATCATAGTCGATTATTCTTCTCAAACTTAATTGTGATTGGCCAATTTCTTACGATTTGCGACTCTATTGTAGAACAGGCATTTTATGCGGGATCTACAATAGAAGTCGTAGTGGTCGTAGAGTTTTAAGTCTTAGAAAATTAATTAATTATAGTCGAATATGAGAAGAATAATCGACTATAATTGGTCAATTTTTTGACCACTTCGACTTTTATTGTAGACATAAAATATCTGTTCAACAATAGTCGCAAATCTACTCTACGATCGCTACGATTACTACTGTAATGGCCATTCACAATACGCCATTAGTCATAAATCAGAAGTTGGAAGTTGGAGAGAAATTGACGATTGTGATTGATCAATTTCCAGCTTCTAACTTCTGATTTATGACTGATGGTTTATTATAGAATGCGTGCAAGAGAAGACCTCGCATTATATTACTATGCACTATGTATGTCCAGTCACAGTTACTACTGTAATAAACTTTGTTTATACTTATCTTTACTATTGAAAATTTCTGACCTTATCCTTCATAATTATACATTCCATTCCATGCTCAGACGTCTTTCCCGTCTAAAAATGTGATTTCAGAGGAAGAACGTAGATTAATTATTTAAAATTACTTCAAATTCACAGTACCTAAACTCATACAGCATAGATCTCTAAGGGACGTCCAGAAGACGTCCCTAAATCCTAAGGACATTTCCAGAACAAGCTTGGAATAAAGTGTGCTGTGTGAGAAATGTCCTTATAATCCTTTGACTTACTTAAATTTTTTTTTTATTTCTGAAAATGTCAATGAATCATAATTTATTATAATTTATATTTTATTCATATAAATTATATCAAAGATTTAATCTCTATGTTATATTAAATATTTTCAATATCTTGTATCACAGATGTATATATATATATAATTTTTACGTCTCGAATTATAATATTTTTTTACCAGCAAAAGTAAACTCTTGAAAATAAGAAAAATTTTAAAAATAGAAAGGCGATAAAAAGCTTGCCATTACTTACCTTTATCTAGTAGAAGCTATATATATATATATATAGCTATATATAAGCTATATATATATATATATTCAAGATAAGAACTTATGTTGAAAAATAAATAAATTCATGTGCAAGTGAATATAACTGTGCCAAAAATATAATTTAATATATTCTGTAAAATTTTTCTTCCCATATACAATTTTATAGAAATATTGTAATCTTACGCTATCATTAAAAATATCACAGTCTTCAGGTACAGTGCTTCGTGGAATCCTCGCAGTAGCCTGAAAATGAAAAAAACACATATCAGATTATTAGAGAATATCAACTCGATTAATACAATATTGGAGATAATACAATTAGACAAAATACAATATTTTATTCTCGAGGAAATGATAAAAAAAAATTAAGTGAAAGAGTCAGTGTTTTGGGGTTTATTGCGTATTTCATGTGTATTTGATATCACCAAAGAAAACAAGTCACAGTTACAGTCCCCTGGGACACCATCCGGTCAATACAGTGAGTCACGCACGGTGATACAAAAATGTGTGTCCATCATAAAACGTTTAATGTTGTGCGTCGATCACTGGATGTGTAACGAGGTCATTGATTTCGTAATAATGAATATCGGGTAATCGATTTTGCCAGAAAATTGTCTTTCCTTTTTTTTTCTTTTACCGTAAGCAACAAATTTACGCTTCCTTTCTTCTATAATGCTTTGAAACGAAAAACAGTCTACATGCCAGTACATTTTACTCCTACATTTCGTTCCTACATCAATTGCTTCCAAAACAAGATTTTTTCCAATACTAATCGGAAATTAACGTCGATATGTATAATATTGAGTATTACATATCTTACATTAGTATACAGACCCTTTTTTTTATAAAAATTTTATTATTAAAACTCAAAAAATATTGAAGTTTTCTCGATAAATTATTTTTCTTTTATAAACTGTTCGTTTTTAATAAAAGAATTTTTTGTGAAACCTTTTTAAAAAACGCAAAAATTACAGATTAAATTTTTATTAATTAAAAAATTTAACTAGTAATGTGTGCGCGTAAAAGGCGCGATTTAATTAAATGTTTTACAATTTTATTAAGCATCTCAATAAGTTATACAAACTCAATATTTTATACAAATGTGAGGCATAACAATATGACAAAATTATGATATATGAGATCCAATGATTTTATCAAATAACAATTCTTCTATCACCACAGCATAAAATTTTTATTGCTGTCTAAATAATATACCTTGTTTTGGAATTACTTTTGTCCGCAATAATTTTAACTTATCATTGTAAAAGTTGTCAATATCATATAAAGTACAAATTATTTTGTTTTTTTTTTCTGCACGCAATATAATTATAAAAGAAAAGTACAGAAATTTAATCATAAATTAAAGGTCTCTTTGTTAAACCTAAAGCATAAGTTATACCTAAAAGCCTATGCGAACGCGCAGATAATCAGAGCCATGATTGTCCTCATGGATTTAATTTTCACAATCACCAATGTTGGATTTAAAATGTTTAAGATGTTTTGTGTCATACTTGGAATGCACCCTTTAAGTATCGAAAATGTATCATAAATCATTTCGAAGAAGTGCAAAGCTGAAGATTAAAAGATTAAGGAAGAATAAAAATACATATATATGCGAGAAACAATCTGGGAGACAAATTGGTTTATGTACCTCGTCAATGTACGCGTGTTTTGCCTCCTCCGAGTCTCGCAAATGTCTGAAGGAAGAAAGTACATTTCCGTACAATTTCACACGTGGAAAGAGCACTTTTCACACAGTATACAGCGAATAGGCACTCAACGATATCGGCCGTTCGCACAGGCCTCTTAAAGTAACAGAAACTCGGGTCGTCCGCGCGCGCAACGTATCGTGTGTGAAACGGATATGTAAGAGGATAAAAAGTAATAGTAGTAGTAGAGTAGCAGTTAAAGGTTTCAGTAACGTAGAGAGTTGCAGCTGCGCGAACGTAAGCGAACAGTTAAATATATATAGGTAGGTAGTTGGAGTAGTTTTCCCTGGATGCAGGCCCTTGATGTGGTCAAGTGAGTAGTCTTTAAATTCGTCTCTTTTTGTTGCGTGCGTCCGGCTTGTGTATACCAGTCAGTCTGTGAAGACAAACAGCAAAAATTACATTTTCTCCTGCAATTTTTCTCCCCCTGCCCGAGGAGGAAGAAGAGGAGGAGGAGATAGATAGAGAGAAAGAGAAAGAGATAGAGAGAACGAGTGATAGCGTCGGTAAAACAACGTCTCGGGGTGTACTACAGCTATTACAAAGAAATGCCTCTCTTTTCCTTCGCGCCACACTACGCTACTCATCTACTACTTACGAGATACGCATTTTTATTAAAACACGTTCAATTCTCGTCCTCATCCATTCGTAGTCGTTTCCGCCGATCCTCGCCGACATTTCGTTCCTCTGCTTCAAGTACCTTCAGCCGGGAACCACAGATTTCTTGACCATGCAGGACCTAAAAGCATATTTGAATGTAGAAACATCTACGTGTTTTGAATATGAATAATTTGGAATATCTACGCAGCAAAGATTAAAAGCAAAAAAAGGAAAAGCGCTGTACCTCAATGGCCTCATTCGCGCTGCTAATGCTGGCGTATTTGGCGTATCCACAATTCTTGCCAGGTAACATATATACATCTATAAGATTCCCAAACCTACAAAATGCATCCTTCATAGCATAAATAGGCGGCACTGGTGGACCACATACGATGAAACATCTCTTGGCAACTTCAGCGTCT